TCTGGGAATATACCCAAAGGAACTTAAATCACTCTACAAAAAAATATCCGTAGACATGTTTATTGCAGCACTATTTACAATCACAAAAACACAGAACCAACCATGCTGCCCATCGAAAGTGGACTGGATAAAAAAATGTGGTACACATACACAATAGACCATTACACAGCCATAATGAAGAATGAACTTATGGACTCTACAGTAACTTGGATGGAGTTAGAGTCTATAATAATTTAGAGCCAGGCTCAGTGGCCCAGCCTGTAATCCCAGCACTTTGGGAGGCTGAGGTGAGTGGATTGCCTGAGACCCACCTACAATAAAAATCAAAAAAATTAGCCGAGCGTGGTAGCACATGACTATACCACTGCACTCCAGTCTGGGTGACAGAGTGAGACTCCAACTATAATAATAATAATAATTTAGAGTACATCTTCTCACTCATAAGCAGACTCTGAACATTTACTTTAATACTCTAAGAAAGGGATTTGTAGTATTTAGAGTGTCTGGGGAGGAGAGGGCACATAACATCAGTAAAGGTACCTGATCTCAAACCAGGCAAAGTGGGGCAAAGGGAGCTCCAAATTTCACCTGTATGATGACCACTTGTATTCCTAATCTTGAATTATCCCACATCTTTAAAACAAATTAACAGAAAAAAAAAAAACAAGTACGTATGGTGAAACCAAAAGGCAACTTTTTCCGCATGTAAACACCAAAAAGAATAGAGTATGACTCTCCAACTCCTTTGACTTCTCTCCTTATGCATAAACTGTATGGTATAACTACTTTAACTCTCTTCCCAAACATTAATCAGGTTAAAATGAAAGGAACAAAAACAAATGGTGGTAAGAGGTAAATTAATTTTTCATGTTCCCAACTTTGCTCTTTGAAGTTGGGCTCTCACTTAACGCGGTGGCACAATCATGGCTCACTTAGGCTCAGGCAACCCTACTGCCTCAGCCTCCCAAGTAACTGAGACTACAGGCACAGCCACTATGCCAAGCTAATGTTTTGATTTTTGATAGAGATGGGCTCTCACTATATTGCCAAGGCTGGTCTCAAACTCCTGGGCTCAAGCAATCCTCCTGCCTTGGCCTCCCAAAGTGCTGGGATTACAGGCATGAACCACCACAGCTGGCTGTATTTTGAAAATTTTTAAACATATAAGAAAGTTGAGGCTTTGCAGATGCCACCTTGAGCCTTTTCCCATCAGCCATGGTCAACCCCATAGTGTTCTTCAACTTCACTGTCAACAGCAAGCCCTTGGGCCACATCTCCTTCAAGCTGTTTGCAGACAAAGTTTCAAAGACAGCAGAAAACTTTCGTGCTACGAGCACTGGAGAGAAAGGATTCGGTTATAAGGGTTCCTGCTTTCACAGAATTATTCCAGGGTTTATGTGCCAGGGTAGTGACTTTACACGCCATAATGGCACTGGCGACAAGTCCATCTATGGGGAGAAACTTGATGATGAGAACTTCATCTTGAAGCATACAGGTCCCGGCATTTTGGCCACCACAACGCTGGACCCAACACAAATGGTTCCCAGTTTTTCATCTGCACTACTAAGACTGAATGGTTGGATGGCAAGCATGTGGTTTTCAGCAAGGTGGAAGAGGGCATGAATGTTGTGCAAGCCATGGAGGGCTTTGGGTTCAAGAATGGCAAGACCAGCAAGAAGATCACCATTGCTGACTGTGGACAACTCTAATAAATTTGACTAGTTTTATCTTAAACTACCAGATCATTCCTTCTGTAGCTCAGGAGAGTACCCCCTCCATCCCATTTGCTCGCAGTATCCCTATAATCTCTATACTCTCACTACAGTTCTTTGGGTTCCACATTTTCCTTATTCCCTTCCACGTCTAGTTGGATTGTACAGAAATAAAAACTAAATAGCAAAAAAAAAAAAAAAGAAAGTTGAAAGAATAGTACCGGCTGAGTATCTGTAATCTGAAAACCAAAATTCTCCAACATTTCAAACTTTCTGCGTGCCAACATGACACTCAAAGGACATGATCACTGGAATATTTTGGATTTTAAATTTCCAAATGACAGATGCTCAACCAGTAAGTAGAATGCAAAATCTAGGGGGAAAAAAATTCCAAATACCAAAATACTTCTGGTCCCAAGCATTTCAAGTAAGGAGTACTTAACCTTAAAAATGAACATCCATTGTTTATTAAGTGCTATCTTCTACCCAGATTCAAAAATTGAATAATACTGTCAAACTATACTAAATTCTATACTGAATAAAAATCCACCATAAATACAAATTAGTAACTAGGATATATAATAACCTCTAAACCTTATAAACTCACTTGACTAAGATAATTTCTAAGCGCCACTTTTCTGTATATGACCTAAGAGAATTCAACACTTAATGAAGAAGTTGAAACAAATTAACACACGGCTGGTTATTTTACACGAACAGTGTCGAAGTTACAGTTTTCAAAGAAACAGTTATTTCCTCATAGTGAAAAAAAGGCTAAAAGTGAAACTGTCTGAAGTTATCAAAGGTTTTCTATTCAAAAGACAGTAAGTACATTTCTAAGGAATCCAGGAGAGTCCAGAAAGCAGTCCTGGTAGCATCCCGAACTGTTACCCTAGATCACAAAACATGCAAGATACTAGTCTGTAAGAAAATAAATGTGCTCTTTCTTGAGATTCAAGTCTAAATAGTTGTGAGCTAGGCCATAGCAAGCAAGTTTTACTTTTCCGAGACAGGAACAATTCTAATATTATTAATATACAATTGTAAAATACTTAAAGTAGGGTTAAAAAAACTGTAGATGACCGTAAAAAAAGAGTAGAAAATGCCAATAAACAGCCATGCTCATTACCACACGCTAAGAAGTCAGGAACCAGCCGGGCTCGGTGGCTCAGCCTGTAATCCCACACCTTTGGGAGGCTGAGGTGAGTGGACTGCCTGAGTCTGAAGGTTTGCGACTCGCCTGGGAAGGCGAGACCTCATCTCTACAATAAAATCAAAAAATTAGCTGGGCATGGTAGCGCACGCCTGTAGTTCCGGCTA